CGCTTATATCCCCACCCCGCTTATATCCCCACTTTTGGGCTGAACGAAAGGGGGGATATAAACGGGGTATGAGTGTATTCATAACATTGTATTTGGATGTTAAAGGCAAATATTGTTATCAGCAGATTTAACATAATCCATTCGTGGTCAGAGAATGAAAAGAAAAGAGCAAAGGGATAAGTTGTACTTCCTGTTTATCTTTGACGATGCGCAGATTTACTAGAAGACCTTGAGCCTACATTGGAAATGGCTTTCTTTGAGTAACTTTATTAAGCCCGCTCGGTATCTGAATTTGGTACTTCATTAAATTAACTCTTACGTCTGATTTTGTGAAGGATTGACACCATGACACGGGTAGCGACTAGATCGTATGGAAAAACATGGCTGATAATACATTAAGACTTGATCTTATCTAAATGCTGATACTATCACACCTCCAATGATACTTCCTGGACGGCATGATTGGTGACATTCTTGCGAATTCGTGTCAGATACCAGTAATATTATAACGAGGCACATACTCTTAAAATTGCAGGTAGTGAATTGGTCGCAAAGCATCTTGTATTGTCAATTTCGGTGCTTTTCATTTCGGAATTGTGAACGTCCTGATGAAAGCTCCTGATATAGTATACTAATATTTGTAGAGCTGGGGGCGAAGAATTTACCAATGCCGGCTATAATGATAGGCATATAGAGAAAGAAGCAGTCGGCGATTATCTCTTTGGTGTTGCAGATAAGAAAGCGTATAGACATTGTATGCAAATACACTCAACTGTACTTGGTCCAAGTACGAACGCAAAGATCCTAATGATGGATTATCAATATGGGATCAGTATGAACAGGTCCCAACGAACAAATGACATACTTTGCAAATTAGCAATTCATGTCGCCTCTATTCACAAACTAATCCTATTCACAAATGCTCTGTATAATAAGGAAAACAATCCTTCAGTAGTTACATTGGGTTTTGCCATAATGGTCTTCTCCATGTGTCTTGAACATGTTTATTTATAAGATTTGTGATATTTACGAAAGGGACGCAAGATCTTTGTAAGATGAGAATCGATTATCCATAGCGCGTATAGAGAGAGTTGATGGCTTTGTTTAAGTTTGATAATATATGCAAAAATAGAATTCTATAGATACCCTCGTTCTTGACATTTATCATCAACGAGTGATTAAACAGCTTGTGAAGCTCGAGTTTTAGAGTGAAGAAATTATGGGGTGTGCTTCCTCGATGCTTTTCACTGATATAGGTCATCCAGTGATGGATTTGGTCTTGCTCATCTGGGTGATCTTCCCGTAGAAATTGCTCATATACAATTTGACGATAAAAGGAGACTGTAAAGCGGCATACACCAAAGCAAAGTTGTTAAATTTGCTTTCTTGCAAGTATGTATTTGCAAGGATATATCGAATACAGTATCAGTGTCTTTTTGAAATCATAATCTTATGATACAAATTGCCTTCGTTGGGATTATGAGTAGTCGAGTATCATCTTCCAGGAGATTGTCATTCCTAGTAATCATGATACATTATTTCATATGACTCTATACTTTAGCCAGCACGATCCCTAAATTTTCATACCAAAGCTAGCCACGTTCATGTTCGCCCCGAAAAATTATTATATGGGAGCGAGAAGATTAAGTTGGGAACTAACGGAATGAGTAAAAAATACGTACGTTAGCGTTTTAACATTACCATACTCGCACTATAACAACACTTTGTGAAACAACCGATATCATGGCGTTTTCATATGCGACCCTCGAGGTACTATATAGTCGTGGAACAAATGGTAATGTATAATTGTAGAAGTACTAAGATGTAATAGTAAGCAGGTGTTTATCTTGAATTCCACAGAAGAAAAATGGAGATTGAAGATGCGCAGAAAACAAGCAGTCCTTCACCAGTCATAGTTGACTCTCCACTAGCCACGGGGTCTCGCACTAGCCACAGTTATTTTTGACTACTGCACTAGCCACAGTTTTTTTACTACTTGCACTAGCCATAGTTATTTTTGGTTATTTTTGCACCACCATGTATCACTGTATAAATAGCAATAATAGCCGCCAAATGTCGCAACTTGTTAATTATCCAAACTAACCGAGAGTTGGAAGCAATATATACGATTACATACGTACCAAATATTTTCTATAATAATAAATGTCTACTCACCATACTCACTTTGTTCCCGATATGACGGCCGTTAATAACCAAACAAATTACGGAAGTTATACGTACGGTATTCCATTAGATCAAATGTATGTTGTGGACTCTAATTATACAAACAGTCTTCCGTTGGATGACGTGCATAGTATGGACTCGAATTATGCAAACAGTCTTCCGTTGGTTGGTAGCGAGTTCAGTAACGACTATTCCCATCCGCTCTTTCAAGCGTCTACCCAGCCTACCAATCGAGCTGCTTTTCTTTGGGATGCCAATAATAACATCTACACGAGGGGAAATGAACAGTTGAATGCCTCGCCTTACGGATACGTCGAAAACAATGAAAACCAAGTCAACAATTTATATTATCCTCTCCCCGATTCATTAGTTCAAGCATCGTCTAATTCTACTCTTTCCAACAATTCTGGTATGATAACAAACGCTACAAGTCATGGATGCATAGTAATTGTCATGAAAGCAGATGCTAACCTGGAAAGATTACTATCTATTATTCAATTATGTGGGAGGGTGGAAAAATTACGATTGTCCTTCGTTTTTTATAATCGGATTTCTTGGTATTGGTAAATTTGGATAATTTATTATTATTCTAGTTATGATATCTTTTCATATGTTATTGCTTGCTTTCTATTGACTTACTTAAACGCAGAAATAATGGTTACACTTGTAGTTTATTTTTGTAAAGTATTTTTGTTACTTTTTATTTCCGAGGATAAACAAATTTCGTAGTTATTACATCTACTGTTAATATCACTTGTATAGACACAATATTGGAGGGTAGAAAGATTATACGATTGTCCTTCGTTTTTTGTATATCGGATTTTCTGGTATTGGTAATTTATTATTATTAGCTATGTCATATTAGGATATCTTTTCATAGTTATCGGGCGAACTTTTAACACAGAAATAAACTATTTTCCTAGTCATTATATCTGCTGTTAATATCACCTGCGTAGACACAATATTGGAGGGTTATATATCGGTAGTGCATCCGCTGTCATATGAAAATTCATGTACGAGGGTTTTTTAATAGTGAAAATATATAAACTTCAAATCGCTAAGGCTTTTTGAGCGAAACAAGCTACGCTCATAAAAACTATATCAATACACCTGCACTATAAGAAAATAGCGCCACTTTTTTAATTTTGTTATAAAACAGTGGAGAAATATTAATAAAAAACGGTTTACACATACAAACGCATATATGGAACTGGTGTGGAAAAAGAACCTTTAAATAGACAGGGGTTGCTCTTCAGAGATTGCTGCGGCATTCGGGCCGGGCATAGAACAAGATTATAAGAGTGCAATTGGATTATATCAAAAGGCTGCAACAACAACAAAAGGTCTTGCTTTGGCACAATGTAGTTTGGCCTTTTGTTATGCAAATGGAATTGGGGTAGAAAGAGACTATGTAAAAGCATTTAATTATATGAAAGAGCTGCAGAACAAGGTAATGCTACTGCACAATATAATCTGGGTTATGAAAATGGCAGTGGGGTAGAAAAAGATAAAGGTTGTTGAGCAATATATGAAAGCAGCTGTCGTAACGATGAATTTTAGTGACGTATTCCTCAGTGGTAACGCAAGGATTTCCTTTGACCCTAGTAAGAATTTCAACATGCAGTACGAAAATGTGTTAAATTTCTAACGCAGATCCTTGGCGTAACGGAGTAATAGTAAGCTGGGAACACAAGAAGGCGCTACGCTCCGTTCGAAGAAAGTTAAATCCTTACGAGTCACGTGTCATTCCGCTCTCCCGTGACATTTGCCTCGACACTATCATATCAGACATACACATCAGTTCTGAACGGGCATAAATTCTGATTGACATGCGGCAATTACCCTGCTGCCAACATTCGTGACATGAGAAAAGTAAAGGTTGAAGCAGCTGTCCAGAAGTTTGAGTAAACATTCTGCGTCTGAGTATCACTTTTTGGGCTATTTATTACATAGTCTAGTGATGTTATTCGATCACAATTACAGCATTCATAATCAAAGCAGGATTTTGTTATAGCGAATTCTAATCTTCAAAGATAAATTGTTTGTTTATCACGTCATGAAAAGGAGAAGGAATACTCTAATGCGATTTATCTATGCGTAAGCTGATGACTTCAAATCTTGAGTAAAATGGTTCAATAAAACTTTTAACTATGTGAGTAATCTTGTTTAGATAGTAAAGTGAATATTCTAATAAGATTTAAATAAAACAGGCTTATCATTTTTTTTACCCGGTGGTTTAAAAGTGTCGTACTAGCTTACACCTGGGAGAGCAGCGGTGCACTAGCCGTTTTGGGATTTAGTTTGTTTCCAACGGAAGCTTTTGCTCTTCCTACTTTAAACTAAATATCGGTACAATTAGTGACCTTTTAAACAGGATTTATGCTCACGATTTGTATATTATCACTCTTGTATACGCCTTTCCTAAGTTATTGTTTAATCTCGAGATTCTCAGCGATTTCCTTGATAGGATTAATTTCAAGGCCTATCGGAACGGGGAATTATACTATTTAATATGTTAACAATTAATTAAACAATAACCCTAATTGCAAAAGTACTTAATAGAATTTATCGGCAAGATTAAATTCTATTCACTACTGACGAGAAAAGCGTTTTATACTTGCGCCAAACGATGCTAAGTATCTTTTATCAGCAGGGAATAAACGAAATAATAATTATATTTGAATTGGATATTTATTAGAATATAAGAACTATCTAATAGCAACGTCTTGCTGAAAGATTTGATATAAACTGAAGATGATTTTTAGCTACTATCTACGACTCGTATTTATAACTAATTATCGTTTCACTAAATTGTCCAGAAAATTGGATATATGGGAAATTTGTATCTGTCCCGAAATTTGGATATATCCGGACAATCTAATTTTAGTTGTCCAAAATTTTGGATATACACATATGCGGAAATCAACTGCGCCAATGATCGATGGCTTGCGTTACTTAGATTTCGTATACTGCGGTATCAGAGATTTTTGTGTAACGGAGTGGAAATCACGGAGGAATACGTCGTACAGTGGGTGACCGAAAGTCTCCGACCACCCCTTAATATTTCCGTTGATCGTGCATAATTCCGTAACAAAGTTTCCAAATACCACGAACTTTTGCCTATCGTTTGCGCTTGTCTCGGCGCACATTCCTGCAAAATTCGACATAGATTAATATGTAAACAATCAGGTTCACTTATACCCGACTTTAATTAACAAAAAATGTGAAAAATTGAGTTTCTCAACCTGAACGTTTAAAAATGTATATGTTTACACAAATAAAATTTATGCTGCGACCCGATGCAAATTAGTATTTATTTGAAAGCCTTTAAATGTCTCAACCAAATGTCAAAATATCACATCTTTATCTTACTTGGCTGCCGAGAAATAAAATTGTATATTTATTATGTGCTTATTATGTTAAAATACAACAAAAATTTAATAATCCATGCAATCAGAATAGCATTTAAGCACAACTGTAAAGCAAAATATTATCTAAAATCTTACTAATACTTTGTTGCATAGCCTTTAGCCCGTTGAACCACTTTAACTCTACTGTTCATACTTAGAATAAGTTTCTGAAATACAGCATCTGAAATTTTCTTGAAGAATTACAGCTAATTCTCTCTCAGATACAGGTGGAGGGTCCCGTTTTCTAATTTGTCTTTCAAGCTCATCCCATAGATGTTCAATGGGATTAAGGTTAGGGCTCTGTCCAGGCCATTTCATCAAGTTTATATCCAAATCATCAAAGAATGTCTTTGTCAGTTTGCTTGTATGAACAGTAGCATTATCTTGCTGAAATTCATGCTCAATGATTTCCCCCCTGAGTCCTTCCATAAATGGTATTAAATGAGTGTTTAAAATGTCTATATACTTCTGACTATTAATCGTTCCTTCAGCTCGGACCAAAGGCCCCAAAGATTCCCATGTAAAACAACCCCATACCATTACTCCACCACCACCATGCTTAACCATTGCATTGGAACAATACAGTCAATGTCATATTTTTCTTTTGGAAGTCTCCAAACCCGAGTTCTTCCATCACTTTTAAATAAAGTAAACCGAGATTCATCACTCCAGATAACTTTCTTCCATTGCTCATCCATCCATACTTGATGTTGTCTACACCACTGTAACTGGTCTCAGCAGTTCTTTACTGAAATGAGTGGCTTCCTGACAGCAACTCTACTATGATAGCCTGCTTCATGCAAAGCTCTTTTAATTGTTTTAATGCTGGCAACAGTTCCAGATGACTGGACAAAGTTACTCTGAAGTTGTCTTGCTGATTGTTAATGATTTGACTTAACAATTCTTACAATATGGTGCTTGTCCTGATCAGTGAGTATTGGTGGACGTCCACTGTGTGGATGAGAACTTCCAGCCTCAGTTTCACAATATTTTTCTATTGTGTCATGCACTGTGCTTTTTGGGTGGCCAGTTTTTGCTTCAATTTCTTGTTCAGTGTGTCCAAAGAGCCACCCTCCAATAATGATTCCATGTTCAAATTCAGTTAACTCTGTCATTTCACTAAAAGTAAGTTGGAATGCTTGGTTTTTTTTTGCAAAAATGTGTGAAAAGAGGAAGCAGAAAGCCTAATGCAATATCTGCATTGTAAATGCACATGCATGTGATGAATGCTATAACAAAATTTATTTACATTATGATGCCATATTATTTACTTTTTTTCAAAAGTACATGACATCTGCTACAAAACTGCATTTAAAGTTTGTTAATAATGTAAATGGTTGTGGAGATATTAATTTTTGAACATCTTCATAATGCCTAATTTATTCATTTTCAGTTGAGTAAATTCAGTTAGAGAAAAACTCAAATGTTTACATATTAATTTATAACAAACTTTTACAGGAATGTAGCTCAATAGAAGCGCAAACTATGGCTAAAGTTTCATAGAAATCTGAGGTTTTATTATGGAATTATGTATGATCAACAGAAATTTTAAGAGGTGGTCAGAGACTTTTGGTCACCCACTGTACTTAGGCCTCAAAAGACAATGTTGCTTTTTCCACATTTATTTTAATTAATTTATTAAAATCATTAGGAATACAGGTTGTTAACATTATAATAAGGTATATTTAATTTACTCATGAGTAGGTATTATTTCTTAGCATGCTTTTTGACCACTTTTCTCATGCTGTCTGCTATATGCTATTATCTTGTCACCATACATTTGTACACAAATATTTGTTGTTATTTTTGTTTGCTAATGTTTTGGTTGTGGAGTTATTCATAATGAATTAAAAGTCAAGGGTGGTCTGTAACTTTTGACCTTACCAATTATGACAATAATTTGTGCAAGTCAAAGTTCAATGAAGTCAGAGAGGAATTTGATTCTAGAGCCTTTCAATGCTGTTGCTCCTGCATATCCAATCTGATTACTAAAAAGATTTAAAAAAGTCAGAGATAAATTTGATTTGAGAGCCTTGCTAATGATGCTCCCATATCTCCAATCTGATTATAATAAAGATCCAAAGGAGTCAGAGAAGAATTTGATTCAAGAGCCTTTGCCTATGCTGTTGCTCCTGCATCTCCAATCTGGTTAGAGGAAAGATACAAA